CAATCACAAGCGGAACATGCAATTGAAAGGAGGTGAATCTGATTAGATGATGGCAGTCTGTCTTGCAGACGATAAAACAATCGGCGACAAATATAAATTGGTCGGCAATGAGATAAACTTGTCGTGCAGGCGCTGGCACACGTAATATTTTACTCAAGATTAGAGTAGGCGACAAAATCGGCGACCAAGACTGCACGTGTGTCCGTACCTTTAAGAAGTAATATTCTTATAATGAATGCTTGTTAATGACTTTACTGACAGTGGAAATTGGTGATTTATCTATCGATAAACAATGCAGAGCAGACTTATACATACAGATTTATAAATAATATAGTAGGTCAAGTGCGTTTTATCTCTACAGTCCAGTCATAAAGCGCCTGGTTGTTAATGGCAATAAGTTGTATTCATCGATTAACACTGATTATCATACAACAGACTTGTCTTTATTTTATAAATATATTGATTTTATAGTTTAATAATTTAGAAGATCAGGAATTGTGAAAGGACAACTGCTCCATGTTTGACCAATTATATTTTAGTCTCAGAACGGACATTTTTTGTTTAGCCAATTAGTAATAGTGTTCACAGCTCACCGTTAAAATTTAACCTTCAAATCTTTGTGTATCAAGAATTATCTGCGTTTGAAAGTTAATATAACGACTCATCTTTTCTTGAGTCACTGCCATATATAGAAAAGATTTATATAGAAATAAGAAATTCCTAGTTTGAGATATTTTTGAAGGAATTATGCGATTGTTTTAAACTTACATTATTTTTTCAAAGCGATATAAAAATACCACTGTTAAAATAGTACTCAATACATCAATTGTACAGAGATATAGAAATACCACTGTTAAAATGGTTCTCAATTCCTAGTTTGAAGTATTTTTTTATTTCAATCTCTCTATTCACTAACTAGTTTCAAAAGACACGTACAGTGAGATTGAGGTATTGGTAAGGTATTTTATTGCTTTTTGCTTTATAGAAATGGAATCAATATCAATCTATTAAAACACACTTGTGATAATACTCCAGGTATTCACACGTATTAAAATAATACAGGTCTATTAAATATACCAGGTACTAACGATCCAAACCCCAAAACAAAACACGAAATCCAAACAACAGACTGGCAAAACATTAGTACCAGCTGATGAACTTTTCACGTGAAGAAGTATATCAATTATGAGTGAGTAAGTATTTAATAATGAAAAGTGGTATCAGGTGTCTAGAAGAGTAAGCATACCCTGCCTGATAAAAAAAACTGTTCACATGAGGAAGTATATCAATTATAAGTGAGTAAGTATTTAATAATGAAAAGTGGTATCAGGTGTCTAGAAGAGGAAGCATACCCTGCCTGATAAAAAACTGCTCACATGAGGAAGTATATCAATTATAAGTGAGTAAGTATTTCATAATGAATAGTGGTATCAGGTGTCTAGAAGAGTAAGTATTTAATAATGAAAAGTGGTATCAGGTGTCTAGAAGAGTAAGTATACCATAATGAAAAGTGGTATCAGGTGTCTAGAAGAGTAAGTATTTAATAATGAAAAAAGTGGTATCAGGTGCCTAGAAGAGTAAGTATACCCTGTCTGGCTTACCTCCATATTAATCCAGTTATAAGTATTTCCTTATGAACAGTAAACTAAAAAGACACATCCCTTTTTGTATGTTATTTTTAATTTTTTGCCTTTTTCGTACCTTTTAAATAAAAGTGTAACGTACCTAACCATTTTATCACTTTCATGTTTTTAATAACAAGTAACATATCGGTTTAATGTGTGAGTAGTCGAGGTACGGTTTCTGGTACGGTATAGGATTATTGATACAGTAGAAAATAAAAGAAAAGAATCGTGTCTGCACCGAGTCCGGACCTGTACCTCGTGCGTTCACTTCTTCTATATGTACCGTACACCGCACCGGACATCGTACACCGCACCGGACATCGTACACCGCACCGGACATCGTACACCGCACCGGACATCGTACACCGCACCGGACATCGTACACCGCATCGGACATCGTACACCGCACACCTTCTATTTCCAACTTTAAGAAGGAAATTAATCGGGATTAAAAAATGATGTCGAAATTCTGAGATGTCGGATATGACGGAGTACACTGTATATATATATATATATATATATATATATAATTTGCTTGGAGAGGATGGACAGAAATACGTCGAAACGTTGTAATAAACTTTAACCAGTGATTTTTGTTCTATTAAAAGGTGTTCATTTAATATATGATGATACTTACAGGGTAGCGGCATTAGATTTCTCTTTTGAGATTTTAAACATGTATAGCCTGTGGCTTAGAGGGGCCTCGGTTTATTGTCCAATTCGAACGACTAGACGCGCGAAGCAGACCATGTTTACTCTTTCCG